TTCCTTTCCTTTCCTTTCCTTTCCTTTCCTTTCCTTTCCTTTCCTTCTTTCCTTTCCTTTCCTTTTTCTCCTCTTTCCTTGGAAGGAAAAACATTAAGCATTCATAAAAAGAGGTTTTCCCACTTTCCTGCCCATTTGTTTGATCCCAGGATCTTGCAGAAAACAGGCTTTGGACAGTTTATAGTACCATTCTAAAGGSTGACAAGATCCATCTGTCTTCTCTRCAAGGCATCTCCAATTTGGGATKAAGGTACCCACCCAAGGSTGGTAGGATCTAAAGGACTTGGGCACTTTTCCCAGGTTTGGGGCTGGCTGACGACTTTGGGTATGAAGAGGAGCTCTGTGTGGCTGCAGCAGCTGAGCTCCCTCCCAGCCCCAGCAGAGCAGCCCTGTGTTGGAGACTGATGCAGTCCATCAAATACAATCCTTCACAGAAGCATCAGAGATGCTCCTTTTGAATGCCTGACCTTTTCCCCCTCCCTCTGCAGTGATGGTTTGAGGGCCTGATGTTCAGAAGCCATCTAAAGCACCCCTGGGGCAGGYTGTCAGGCAAAGTGCTGCAGCAATGACAGGAAAAACCAAACAACCCCATGGCAGCATTGATGTTGCTGCTTTTATGTGTTTGTAAGTAGTTCAGAGGGGGTGATCGCTGATTAAGTACCCGATATTAACTGCTCTTAATCACTGYTCTGGAGCCTAATGGAGCTCTTGTTTGCACATAACCATGCCTTGTAGCTGTCTTTAGCACACTTGACAGATGTGCTTATTGCCATCTTTACTGCATTTGTGTAATGGGCTTTTTAATTATTGATTCATCATTACTCCTTTATAAACTACTTACAAATGTCACCAGAATGAACTATGCTTGTGTTTTTCTTTTTAAAGCTCTTTCAGGTTTAAAAAATACAGTTCCCTGAAACAGTGTGACTCCAGGGGCAGGGGGCACTGGGCCTTGAAGAGGAAAGGAACAGGAATATACAAACACGTGAGGAAGCCTCCCACGTTTGAGTCAGTCCCCAAGGGCTATTTATAAAATACACTACCTGAGTAACCTTTGCTGTGCCTCTTCTTCTTCTTCCGTTTCCCAGAGGGCCTCTGCTTTTCCCTGTCGCTGTGAGTTTGCTCTGGGGGAAGTGTTGCTGAACAYGAGGAGTCAGTGGCTGGCTCCTCTGAGAAGGACTTGTCTTGAGAGGTGTCCAACAGCGAGTCTGTGCCGGGGTCTTCATTTTCCTTCGCCATCTCCTTTGACTCTGCCTGCTGAGCCTCATTGCAGGGAGCAGGCTGAGCACTCTCTGAGCCATCAGCTGGGCATTCCTTGCCCTGGCCTTCTGCCATGGACCCGTTAGTCCAGCTGAGCTGGTCCCTCAGAGCAGAGGCTGAACTGCTGCTCCCAAAACTGATCCTCGTGCTTATGTCAGCCACAGAGAAGGCAACGGAGCCRCTCTTTGTGCTGGGCTGGAGGCTTTCCACGCTGTCTGCCGGCTCCATCCTGGTGCCTGGCATGGGCTGACTGGTTCCATCAGCTTCCACTATGCTCACTGAGGGGCTTTTGGTCTGGAACTCCAGAGGTAAACTTCCTCCAGCATTGTTTTTAGATAATACCTGRCTTGAAGCTGAAGCATTTGTAACATCTCCACCAGTCTCCATTGGGGCMGTGGTTGAGGGGGGAGTGCTTTCTGAGGGATGACCATCCTTGTTTTGCTTGGTCTTGTCATCAGTCTGTTTCCCTGCTGCTTGTGGATCCTTAATACTCTTTCCTTTAAACAAAAAAACSACACAATCAACYAAGATGCACCTTCCCCTGCAGAGGTTACAGGTTAGCAGTTCCCTGTGGAGAGAGCACTGGCCCTAAAGCAGCTATGCAGAGGCAGCATCACTTTATCTTCCCTGTATTTCCCCTCCTTATACCCATGTGGTCACTCCAGCCCAGCTGGACTCCAAGGTCACAGCTCAGCAAAGCCCCTGCTTTGTTTYCAGMAGGTTTTTATGTGTCTYTGCTGCAAACTGGTCGATTTCCATTGAAAGCTTCAAGACTTAGAAGGAAGCCTGAAAGTCTACAGCAGAATAGAGAACCTGCCTGTGAGGTCCTACATCAGGCTTGGCTGTGTGAGGACTTCAGTCCCATTGCCCACTATTCAGCCTTAAGCTGCCCTTGCAAAGCAGGTCTAGGAGAGCCATGGATGGATCAACATCCTTGGACATCCTAACATGCACTGCCACTGAGGTCAAGAGATCAAAGAAAGGATATACCCATGGGCTGTCCCCTCACAAGCACCTAAAGGACTTGGGTACTGGCGCAAATAGGGTTTCTAATCCTTTCTTAAGGGCTTTTTCAGTCTCCCAAGTGTAGACTAAGACGRGGTGCAGCAGTCTTGTGCTGTGCTACTGAGACTTAACAGCGTGGAGGGGACTTGTGTGGGGGTGAAGCAGTGCCCCATTAGCGTGGTGCCATGGCCAACATGTGGGTTGAGCACCTCAGAGGGTTTATCAGCACAGRTGCAAGGCCATGCTGCTCCAAATTCCTGCTAATTCTGGGACAGACCTGGGTAATAACAGCTCAAGGCTCTCTGCTCCTCTCCTTGGCACTGGCTGCAAAGCCTTCTTAAATAAAATGCCCCAAATGCAARCACAAAGGCTTCTTGCTGGTGCATGCTTGGCTCAGGCTCAGAGGCAGATGGGAGTGAATGGCTGCAGGTACTGTCAGGTCTGAGTCCTTACCAGACTGGCTTTCCTCTGGGCTCTCTGCAGACGAGGATTTAGGAGCTGCATCCGTCTCGTGCCTGTTCTTTGTTTTTCTGAGAGTGAACCCTTTCCTTATGTCGGCAAGCAGGGCATCGATGACACACACCTCCTCCTGCTTCATCAGCCCCTTCTTAACTGTGGGGGTAGAGATGAGGGTTAAATCTGCCCAGAAGATGAGGCAGGAGGAGACTTCGCAGTGATTCCATTGCTAGAGGTGGCTACTGCTGTCCCAGTACAAGAAACCACTGGGCAAGGRCAAGGCACCTTCACCAGCCTGGGATCCATGCTCTGTGATCCCACAGCAGCATATCCTGGCTGCAGACAAGGGATCTGCTCCAAAGTCTTGGTGCTACAGCCTGGCACCAGTGATACCAGCTCTGCCTGGACCGGTTGTACTGTGACCTTGAAATACCCCCTGTTTGCTATGGATGCTGCTGGGAACCCTTTTTGTTTTCTTTTCTATTTTTCTATTTTTTTTTTTTAGGGAAATTAATTTTGATTTTTCTTTCAGCTTCTTTCAATTATATTTTTCAGTCTTAAATTTTCCTCCAGGAAAAGGCATATTTAAGAAACACATATGATTTTTGGGACAACTGTGGTAAAGAAAGATTATTCACATATATATGGGGACCTTGGATAGGGAAAAAGTCACATGTTTCTTGTTAAATTTGGGATTCAAAAGTTATGTTTAGAAACTGAAAAAGTTAACTGAAATATTTAATTTGTGGTGTTTTCTTTCCCTTCTCTGCTGTTCAGTCAGCAAACCTAAAATTAACTTCTCTGCCCAGCTGCAACTGTGGAAAGTCAATTCTTAGCCAGGGCTGTTCTTACACCTAAAAGCCTTTAGTCAGCCAGCACCTGGAAACCTACAAAATAAATTACCACTACTGGTCCATTAAAGCAGGACCACCAAAGAGCTCCTATGGCTCCATCTCTCTTTTTTGAAGCCATTTCAGATACTCACTGACTTTTCCATTTTCTCCCTTCTGTCTCTTGCCTTCTTCCTCTTCGAGCTGTTTTTTYCTCTTCTCTGCTTTGGCAGCTTGCTCCTTTCTGTCCTTGTTTTCCTGCAGGGAGGTAACAGGGCTGTGAGGAGGTTGGGTAAATGTCTGCTAGGAAAGCTGATGCAGAGAAAGGAGATCTATACATGAAAGAAGAGAAATTGTGGTCTCATCCTGTGCAATAAGTAAAATGGGCACTGGGAATAAGGGCTGTTGTACCAAGATGTTGGCCAAACTCTGCCACATCCCAGTTGGAGGTGGCARTGGTGACACACCTCACACAGGTACCTCTGGTGTGCTCACCTGCCTGACCTCTAGCTGAGGTGAAAGTGGCAGATACCAAAGCCACAGTTTTCTCCAAACAGGTGGCTTTTTTACTACATATCTCTTCTCTGAGTCTCTTTGCTCAGGTTAGAGCAAAGGGTTATGTTTTGTAAGCTACTTCTTCTAAAACTTGGACACTTGGCCCAAAAGCACCTTTGTGACTCTGCAGCTAAATTTGCACCAAAATCACAAATCCCCAATATTCGGGCCAGGCCAACAGGATGCAGTGGAATAGGGATCAGACACCACTTCAGTGRGGGAACTCACACCAAGTGCCTAAAAGAAGAGGCTGTAACCAGATTCCCCTGCTGGATTTGGGAGCCCATCCCACCCCTGTCCATCGAAGTGGRGGCAGGTACCAGCCTCAGGAATGCTCAGCTTTGTGTGTGCACATGCCAACCTTCAGGGCTCGGATGAACAGATCTCTGAAGGTCTTCATGACGCTGAATATGTCCTCTAGGGACAACTTGCTTGGRTCTTCACAGAGATAATTTGCAAGTTCTTCTCTCTTCTTTTCAATGGTTTCAAATTCTTCTTCCAGCTTTCTGGAGGCATCGATGCAATCCTGAAACACATTAAATGCACACAGTAAAGCATCATCCACAGGACAATCAGTGAAGTGCACTCACAGAGGAAGGATGAAAGATCTTGGWGCAGGACTCTGGGTCCTGGCTTTTTTTCCCAAAGGAGCTTTTGGGAAGCAGGTGAGAGGACATTAAGATTTGTAGATGATCTTTCCTCCTGGCGACTGGCCAGTTTACCGGGGTGGCTTGAGCAAGACATGGAAAGCTCCACTCAAACCTTAATCCCAAGCAAAGGGCTTCACTCTGGTGGTCCACACAGAAGGTGAACATCTTCCCTTAAAGTGAGGAGCCCCACAAAAGCATGGAAAGAGCAGTTAGGGCATGCACCCCAAGAAATGGCCTCACCAAAGGTATCTGGGTTTGATGTAGAGCTTGCAAATGCAATTTGGGTTGTGTGCCATTGCAGCCTATTTTCAAATCTGAGAGCATGTCTTGTGGCAGTATTTTCTCCCCTCTCATGAGCCATCTCAGCTGCAGATGTACCATGCACCACCTCTGTGTGTGTAATGGGGGAGAGATCTCCATTACTGACCTGGATGGGTTTCTCATACTGTTGTTTCACATCCTCATTTGATGATAAGACTTTCCGCTGAAGCTCCAGCAACTTCTTTAAATTGGTACTGGACTCGGTGCGTATAATATCAAGATTAATTCTGAAATCACASAGAATTCTGCCATTAGCTGACACTGCAGCATCTTGAGCTGACCAAGGAGTGGACAAGTCTGAGTGTATGATTTGGTCATCCCTCTACTTCCCACCACTTCACTGAACTGCAACCTGAGCTCTGAGCTCTCYGTGCAGTCCAAGCTCATGGGAAACAGTTTCCCTCCACAGTACTTATGGAAAGGCTGCCAGCTCTACCTRCARCTTTGTGTACTGGCTAGATGAATGSCARAAAAAGCTGACCCRYTSAAAAGGCTGCTCTCCACCCGCCSTGCTCRGCATTAGCTCATTTTCMCTGGCTGGGGRTACTTCACCAGCTGGCCTTCACCAGCTCCTGCCACCACAAAGGCAGTGCATATTTCAGAAGGGTCTGGGAGGCAGCTTTAACTGACTGCTCTGCAAATTTCARCCCTGAGTGCTGCCAGCTGTAGTAGAATTATTATGTATTAAAGGGCTTTCAACATTCATCAACCAAATCTTTCAGTTAAAACTATGTAAGATGCCATCTTGTTAATCTGCTATACCAGCTGTGTGTGTCCTAATTTCTGGTACATTGTTGATGTGCATGGGATTTATTTTTGTTTTTAATTCAAAGGAAGTGACACACAATTTTACCCTGCTGCTTTTGAAACATATTCAAGATCCTTTGGCAGTTCCAGTAGGTCCTTGTGGCTGTTTTCTACTTCCTGAAGAGGAAGAGAGAAAGAAGTGTTATTTGGTGTGTGGCAGGAGCTGARGGGAAGCTGGGGGGAAAACACATGGACAGAAGTGTCCAGGAAGGATGACTGTGCTGTGTCCTGCTACTGCCCCCCGTCTGTAGTTTGCACATTCAGAGAGGAAAGGCATTTCCCCTGGCCATAAAAACGCTGAACTCTGAGTAATACTCAAAATTCAAAGCAAAGCTGAGCTCTTCTTGAGCATGGTGGGGAGGCAGGATCATATTTTGATGCAATCTGACACTTCCTACAGTCCCAGAAGGTTACTAAAAGGCCTTGAATGTTATTTGCATTCTTTACTCTCACARCTGTCCTTGCTGAAGCTATTGCCAGCTAAAGCAGGGCTTGAACATGCACAACTGAAACTGAGGGACWTTGATGAATGAAGGTGGCAGAGCAGAGCATGGAGAAAAAAGATAAAAACAGCATTTCAGGGAATAGGAAAACCATGGGAGCYTGGAGAGAAGCATGAAAAGCCTGAGCCTAGTCTGGAGGAAAAGGGAGAGTCCATGGAAAGGCAGAAAGRCTGAATGGGTACAGATCCAGGACAGCTTTGTGCTCTGTGGTTTRCAGCTGCTGATGTGCAGATTGCACAAATATGAAAGGAAGTTGCAGACATTGTGGGCAAAGATGCTGGATGGAAGCAGAACAAGTCTTAAAATAAGGAGCTTCCTTAGTAGTGCCCACAAGCAGACTCCACCAAAGAGTCACCAAAGTGATTCAAMCACTCCTGACTTGTGACACTCTGTGGCCTGCCAGGGAGGATGTGAGTATGAGCATGTGGCATTAACTGAGGTAGGCTAGGAGAAATCTGGTTCATCCATGATAAAACCCTCCCTCTTCCCTACGKGCAGGACTTGGCAGTGGTACCTCTAGAATGTGGTGGAGCAGCGTGATGCGGGTTTGGTTTGCTTTGGTTTCTGTTAGTTTGAGTAACGTGCTGATTTTAAAGCCATCGGCATCGCCTGTGTGACTCCCCTACAAGAGAGAGAGAAAGCAGATGTAACCCCTGTGTCATACAAATAACAACCCTAAAGAAGATCAGACTGTAACGGGGAGAGGACAAGACAAAAAATGTCCTTACGTAGTTCAGGAAGTTTCCAACTTTGAGAATCAATTGACAAAAGACTGGCAGGCGATGACTGGTCAAAAGATCTGAAAAAACATAAGGGAGCAGASGTTTCTGCCACAGGAAGCCAAAATCTATTGCATAAACTTTCTGTGTACTAACCAAATTGGGCATCAGCAATTTATAACCCAAAATAACAGCCTTTTTCTTCTGGTTCCATTTCTAGGAAACACTAAAGCATCACTACTTTCGGGCAAAGTTTGGGGTAGGCTTTTCTGGCAGCAGAGAAAATTGCTGTATGAAGTTCTTAATGTGGCAGATAATGCTGGATGGATGAATTAGCTGCAGCGGGGCCAGCTCTGCTGTCTAAATTCAGCTCCTATGAAAGGGCTGACGAGCTTCCAGCACTTCACCATTCAAAGTGTTTCAGAGAAATATATCTGCTGCAGAAAAAAAAGGGATGAGGGTGAGAGAAAATGATCTTTGGTCCTGTTAAGGGCTTTGACCATCAGTGGAGATAYCTAAAGCTGCAGCAAACCAGTGACTGGACCACAGGGGAGTTCTTTGGGGGCTGGGTAGTAATATTGCAGAGCTCCAAGAGGGGTTTGGGCATAACATTGCAGAACTCCAGGGGAGTTTTGTGGGGGTTAAAGGTTCCTGTCATAAAATGAGATCCAGAAATGAGCTCAGGCCATCTATACCTTCGCAGGCTCTCCGGATGGCGTCAGCTTTGGGCTGAATCATGTCCAGCACGACGGTGGTCTCCTCACAGATGAGCATGCACTCGATGCGCAGCTGATAGCTACAGGTGGAGATGGGTTCACAGTGTAAAGGCACTGGGATCTCGGCCAAGCAGCCCTCCTCCCACATCACCAGCAAGTCCCTGCCATCCCACAACACTGCTGTCAACCACATCCACACCAAACCACTGGTGTGGCTCATGGAGGGAGGTGAGGGGCCACCGTTTGCCCCTGAGGGATGCAGATTCTGCTGATTCGCTGTGATCAGCAAAGAGAAGAGTTTCCCCTTCTTGGCACTGCATTTGGCACCRCCTTTCAGTAAATTATGGAGCCTCCTTGGGCACGTCTGACCTTGCGCCTGGGCCAGCCTCTGCTGCTTCAGAGGGAGGGGAGGTGCTGGATCAGGAARAGCCCTCCACCTAAGGGTAATGGGGAAAGGGACAGCTCTAAGGTGGGAGGGGGAATCTACCACTGATATCCATCAGTGCTGCTCTGTGAGGCTCCTGTAAAGAAAATTAAACTTCCCAGAGGTAAATCAAGAAATAGATGRGTCTGAAGTTCATGACCAACAACCTTACCTGGGAATCTGAAGGAGGAGAAGATAAAACTGATCTGCATTTGCTAGCTTTGATTTCTCTTCTTTGAAGGCCTTCAGGTTTTCTATCTAATGAGAAATAAAGAATCAAGACTGTAGGGCCRCACTGTGAGCTCAGCTCTGTGAACCAAGGGTACTGTTTTCCTGCTGACCTCATGYTTTTCAGGCAGCAGCTTCAGCAACTGCTTCAGAACCTCAACGTCGAACTTGGTCCGGTCGCCATTCTGGATCATGGCAGTCACCTCTTCATTGGAGCTGCAGGGAGGAGGAGCAGAGCCAGCCATCAACCAAAGACCACTTTTCAACAGTCACACACTACCAAGACATTTATCTGTGTAAGCGCTCTGTGCTTTCCCTAGTAAAGAGTCACAATAATCCAAAGGGAAAGGCATCTCCCCACAGTGAATTTAGAATCAGGACCTGGACCCCAGTTATRACCTGGTCATCTCAAGGACAGAGATGAATCCTGCAACTGAGATCCTACACCTCAGCATTTTTTTATCTTAAAAGAAAGTTGAACTCTTAATTTGTCCATTGGCCTTGTTTTGAGGAGGGATTTGATTTCCAGGTGTGTCTCACAGCCTAAGTCACCCTAARAGTCTGTGCCACAACTTCATCTGTAACATGGAGATGTAACTCCTYTGCCAACATATGGGGAAGTTGTATGAAAAAGCATAATTAAACATCTAAACTCAGTATTTTAAAGACAGTGTAGGACAAAATGGGGAATATTCAGATGATTTAGTAACATGGACCACCAAAGCACACTGGCTAGAACAGATTTCGTCAGGACCTTCCAGATACTGCAAAACCTGCTCCAAAGTTTTGTCACGAAAACTGGCCATATCTTACCATTTAAATTGCTTCAAAAATATGTTCAAATTGAGACTTTTCTTGGAGTCCAAAAATGTGATCTTCATTAAAGAAAAAGAAGATATCTCATATTAGATGAGCTGTCTGCAGGGATCTCTACTCGAAAGAACGAGGGGGGTCTCCTCACCTCCTTCGGCTCAGCCTTCACTGGTGCTGCTGTCTTCTCCTTAGGGGTTGGCTGTGGGAAGCAGAACAGCTGCTCAATGCTGCTGTAGTTGGGCTCTATGGTTTCCTCACTGCTGCTGCTCACAGAAGCCCACATTGAGTGGCTCTCTGAAAGAAAAACAAAGTGTTCAGACTGGCTGCAGGGACAGCTGAAAGCTCCTGGCTCCTGGGGCAAGGTGAGCTGCTAGCAGGGACAGTCTTCAGAAGATGAATGAAATAAGAAGAGACATGTGAGTCGTGGATAAATGGTTATTGTTGAGGAGGGGTAAATCCCCCAGATAGGATCCAAAGGGCCTGGAGGGCAATTAAACCTGGGAAGGGGAGGCAGCACTGGGCACACAGAGGCTGTACAGCCCCATCCCTSCCCATAAAACTGCATTTTCCTCGGTGGTGGGCAAACTGGATCAGCATGACAAGGACCTCAGACATTTCATTTCTAATCCCCTGGCTGATTTCATTTTTGCCTTCTTGCATCCTAASAAAGCGACTGGACAAGTTGGATATTTTCTGACTGTGTCCTTCTCCATTTTGCATTTTATGCTCGTGCGTCCTTGTATAATGCTGGCTACAGGACTGCTTGAATATCTACTGCAATATCTTAAAAATGTATTTAAAAAAAATCATGATAACATGCTTGTAGAAAGAAGTCTCTGCTGAAATAATCCCAACATTTTACTGCTTTTCTGACTGAAAACATCCTTATTTAGATTTCACCTTTGCCTATTTCCATGCAGTGGATGCCTTGCTTGTTGCCTAGGACAAAGCTGACACTGCTTGTCCCCGCTTCTTCTCACATTTCATGCTCCCCTTTGAATCCACTAGTAGAGGGAAATGTAACCCAAAAATCAAGAGATATGTGATGTGATCCTCACATGCACTCTTACTCATTACTTTAATAAACTCAGATAAAAGCATAGATGAGCTGGGTAATAAAAGCTTGGGGAACACGGATCAGAGCCTAATCTAAGGCAAGTCATAGTGAATTAGGAAAATATTCCCATCCATTTCTCTTCTTTTAATTTCAAAGTATTTTAGTTATAAACAAGCTATTCCAAAGTACTAATTCAGTTGGAATAGTTACTRTTACATGAGTAGTTTCATGCTACTTTTATTTATTTCAGCTCTGTAGGTCAAAAGTAAAGAAAATTAGGGAAGTTCTGTATCTAGAGTCAATCTGACAAATTTAAAGATAGTGTTCCTTTCCYTAGGTCACCCCTAAGGCAGCATTGACTTTATGCCAGAAGCACCCACCTCTCACCACGTTGGAGGGCAGCTTCTGCCAGTTCAGCTTCTTCATTCTCAGCGTTGGCGTCTTCACTGTCTTGYGGGGAGGCCTGCCCATGCCAAGGGGGCAGCTGTACTGGGAGGCCACCACAGCTTCGATGGAATCTCCCCCCATGCCAGGAAGGAGGGGTGGAGGGGGAGGGATGCCCCCCATGCCAGGCAATGGTGGAGGAGGGGGAACTCCCCCCATGCCAGGCAGTGGGGGTGGAGGAGGAGGGATGCCAACCATRCCAGGCAATGGTGGAGGAGGAGGGGGAACTCCACCCATGCCAGGTAATGGGGGTGGAGGGGGAGGGATGCCAACCATGCCAGGCAATGGAGGTGGGGGTGGAGGGATGCCCCCTATGCCAGGCAATGGTGGAGGAGGAGGGGGAACTCCACCCATGCCAGGTAATGGGGGTGGAGGGGGAGGGGGAGGGATGCCAACCATGCCAGGCAATGGGGGTGGAGGGGGAGGGATGCCAGGGAGCAGAGGGGCTGGAGGTGCATTCGTCATGGAGGATGTGGGGTTCACGGCTGCTGTGGCAGAGTTGGGGGTTGGTGGGGCTGGAGGTGCYGGGTTGGGAGCAGTGTTAGAGGGAGGGTTGGATCTCTGTGGCAAAGCAGAGCAGGCTGCGAACTGGCAGGATGAGATCTTCCTTTCGTTGGCTGGTGGCCCTGAGGATGTGGCTGGTGCCTTGGTGGGGTTTGATGATCCCCCTGCACACCGAGCTGCCCGTGCACATGGCTCTGGTTCACCCTGGGTGCCTCCAGCTGTGCTCCCAGACAGGCGGCTCTCGACTCGCTTGTGCTTGTTTGGATGTTTTTTGACGGACAGCAGCCTCTCAATGACTTCTTCTACCGTGTTCCCCTGGACTGGAGAAACGAGTCAGGGTCAGGGGAGGAACGGGGCTCACAGTCTGGTTCATGCTACTCAACCCTCCCTGAGCAGCAGATCTGGAGCCCTGGAGCRCTCATTTCCTGGTGTCACTCTACACAACTACACTTTTGGCTTCCGGGCAACTTCCTTCCCATGTGCCCAGCCCCAACACAACCCAGGCCAGCACGGTGGCAGGATGCCAGTGAGGACAGATTCCCACTGAGTCCCGTGACCCAAAGCTCGGGGATTAACCATTAAAGCAAGACTGTGAATCCCAAACCTACTGCTGAACATGGCCACCCACATGGATGGAGCTTCACATCAAGACTTGACCTATGCAGARGGTGTAGCTTTGTCCCAGCTTCTGTTCAGCTCTTAGCAAGTCCCACAGATTATTTCCTGCACATTGGGGAAAGACTTCTATGGGCTGAGACTGGCACGAGGGAAAACAGGGAGTGTGCAAGGCTGGATGGAYTTGTCAGTCTTACTGTCATTGGCGAGCAAAAGGGCTCTGTTCACTACAGCATCCAGGGACTCCCACAGCAGGAGACTRGAGTGATGAGAGGGTTCCAAGTGCAGCAAGCTCTGAAGGATGGACAGCAGCTGGATAGAGACTGGAGAGCGGCTCACCTGCAAGACAGAGCAGCTTCTGTCACAGCAGGGCTGGTCCTGAGCAAAGTGGGTTAATTTTGTGGCCACTGTGTGACCTTGCACCCCATGTGAGGGGCTACTTACTTTATTGAAGAGAGATGAAAAGACCTCATGATGATCATTCATGTTGATCCCATCGCATATCTTTAATAATTCCTCATCATCGTCTATTTTGAACTCCTCAAATGTGTCACAYTGGATAAGCAGATCCTCCTCCTCAATGTCTCTGCAATATCACAGCATTCATTTTCACTAGAGAGCCCTTCACTAATTTCCAGATGATTGTTTTTGTTAAATGGCTTTTATCTCTTTGCCTCTCAGACTCAGCCAGTTGGTGTGGAACGTACCCATCTCTGCCTCATAAAGGATCACTGCCATCAGTGCATCCTTTCTTGAACTCAATGTAYCTCTTCCTACAGCCAACACATACTTAGGACTTTTTATGGCATAACCTGGCCCAGTACAGGCTTGCTATGGAATTCTCCTTGGAGCTGTAACAACAGAGTGGCATTCCCACCTTACTGAAACCAGGCTGCTACCTTTCTTCTTTTAAAGCCAGGACAAATTGAAAATATTCCAGTAATGTTTCTATTAGAAAAACTTTCTTCTCTGTTACTCAAAATTAGATTAAAAAACCACAGACACTCTAAAGGTGACTTTCTCAGCACTCTCAAGACCCCTCAGTGTTAAAATTCCATGCTTGCTGCACTACTGAAAGATCTTCTCTTCCCTGATTTTTATGGTGTTGGATGGAGCAATTTCAGTTACACGSATAACTGCAATTCATATAAACTGCATTCTAAAATTTATCCCAAATGTTTTTCATAGAACATAATTTTTAAATTACATTCAGAGATGCATTAGTAAATTGTTTTAGCTGGATGTTTCTGGGACCAACAACAGCAGTGAAGTGGTTTTGAACACAGTGAGCCGCTCAGTGAGCCAGCACTGCTTCAGTCAGTCTGAAACACAGCCTCAATGAGGACATTGCTACTCCATCTGTGCCCAGAGCCTCTGTGCATGCCATCTGTGCCAACAGCTGCCCCATGACACCGTGGTTGGCAAGAGCATCTTAACACTGGCCAAATGCCTCCAGTTCCCATGGGATGGGTGCCACAAGTGTGGTCTACTCCACCCAGGTACACTGCACTTCACACCACAGAAGGCTGGATAAGGATTAAGTTTCCACAGCTACTTCACCGGGAATCTCATTTTGCAAAAAAATGTAAGTAGAGATCCTTACCTTAGCTTGTCTAAAACATCCAACAGCTGAAGCCCTGGCAGGTGAAAAAAATAGATATAGTTGCATTATGACCCACTTGGGACTGATCTGTTATGATCTTTATGTAATRTTATGCTCATGAACACTTTTTTCAGAGAGAAGTGAAAATATCTTCAGATGGATCTATCAAAGTGGGTRAAGTCATCTAATAAATGATGAGACACCACAGCACACATCTGCAGCACCTGTGTGAACCACTGCACAATAACCCTGGAGCTACTGAGGGACACGGGCACTTTTGGGGCAGGAGTGACCTCAGTTCAAACTAGATTTCTAAAATCAGCCTGATACAGTCAAATGTTCCTCGATCTCCATAGAGAGAAATGGAACCCAGGCTCACCAATTCACATGCATCCAGTATGTGAGGTGAATCCCAAAAAAGGTATTTAGAAACCTGAGATTCAAGCAGTTCAAGGCACAGCCTCTGTGGCTCAACTGCATAGACACTGAGGGAAGAAATTTCATCAACTCTTAAAAGTAGCTGCAATATATGGAAATGTGGCCACATAAGATGGCTGGTTATAGAAATGTTCTGAAGAAGCTCAAGTGATACAGTGCTGCTGGGATTCCAGAAAAGATCAAAGTTATGGGGAAGCAGCAAAGCTAAAAAAATGTGTTGACAGAAAGGCTGTTGAGAATAAAGGTCAAAAGGAAGAGGAAAATTCATATTTGCAGTTTTGCTCCCCAGCCTCTTCAGGCATCTTACAGATACRTATGAAAAAAATCCCTGTTTGTAAGTGACTTTGTCCAGGCAAAGGTGCAACAAACATCCTTACCTATGAACTCGTTTCTGATTTGTGTCCTTGTTCTCAGCTCCTCCTTCCCCAGGATGATGGCATTGATAGCACTCAGCAGTGTCACCATGTATGGCACATTGTCTGTGTTGGAGAGCTCGTTCATGATGATGCTGAATCGATACTGCTGGTTCTTCACACTCTGTTGGGAGCACAAGTGATATTATGACAAGAACAGTCCATATAGACATAAATGACTGCCCATGACTGTAGTGTAGGGTCTCAGATGGAATTAGCACCTGAAACCCTCAGTTTATCCCACTGTGCACAGGACAGGAAGATACAGGCAAAAGCAGCACTCCTCCATGATGGAGCAGGGTCTGRCTGGCAGAGAAAGTCACTGAAAACACCTCTTGGATCCCTTTATGCTTTCTCATAATTGATGTATGTACCAGAGCTCATGGGTAGTGAAACCTGTGGATGTGGCACCATTTATTTTGCTGATCTGGTGGTCTTGTGGTTGGCAGGCATTCATTCACACAGGTCACAGAAAATCATCACCAACTTCTGCTGACCACAGAAAATTTCCTACAGCTCTCACCTTAYAAACCCCTGCTTCTCTTACCAAAACGATGCAAACAGACCTTATTCCAACCCATTTCTCTGGTACATGGATCCAAGCTGAGCCATTCCTCCTGCTCCAACCCAACACTTGCCTTGTAATGGTCCAARGCATCCAGAGCCAAAGCGTGGCCATCTGATGAGTAAATGCACAGCGCAGCCAGGAGCTCAAATATTTGCTTTTTGACCATGACATTGGTTGTGTCAAGTGCTGGAGGAAAAACAGAGCAAAACAAAGCAGAATTTTAGTGACATTCATATTCTGAATCTCAGTGTCTTCTACTACATGGATGATGATAAGTGGTAGAAAATGGACTGAAGGAGGGGACCCATTACAATGGAAGATAGAAAGAGAAATAACTTAATTTATAGATTTCCCATCCCAGCAGCATTATGTGATGGTAACTTCTCATGAGAACAGTAAATGCTACAGGTACCCTACTGGCATTTTGGTACAGCTTGTAGTTGCTCATCTTTTCCACTTCCCAGTGCCATGCCACAACAGCAGCCAAGATTTTTCAGCACTCACAAAATTTATTTCCCTTTTTCACATATGAGTGTTTTCTAGAACACAGATGAACCATTTTCTTTGAATAATGACGTATTTTTAGTGCAGAAAAGCTCAATATGCATATCAATTAGAGCAATTGTTCCAGTGGGGCCCCATGTATTCCCYTTCTCCACTACTCTTTCTCTGGGAGCTGGGAGGGAGTGCATTAGACTGTCTTAATTTTTCCTGTGTAAGAGCACAAAGAAGCTCCAACACTGAAAAGACCAGGATGCCCTCCTGTTTTCATGGCACAAAAATCCCAGCTCCATATTTTTACACAGGCTAAGAAAACACAGGGTGAAGAGGAAGGAAGAGRACTTCAAAACTGAAGAGGGAAGCAAGCCAGCTTTCAGGGCAAATGCATTTTAAAAAGCTATTAATAAGGGTTTCTGGGCACAGCTGCGATCTCTGTGGAGCAGCACACAAGTTATCCTTCCAGCACCAGCTTCGTTAAGTGCTGTACAATAGGTTCCAGGAGATGCCCTGATGAATTTCAAAGCTMATGACAAGCCAAGTGAATGTCACGAGAATGCAAGTGCTGTTACCCACCATCTTCCAGGAGGAGCAGAGTGAGCAGCACAGAGAGCAGGCTCTCCTGAGCCCAGATATGCCACTTTCCCTCCTCCTCTTTACAAGCTACAAGGCTCCAAGCCCTTTCAATCCCTCTCCCTCTGCCCCAGGGGCTCACAAAGACTGAATAGCAAATGTCTGCTGACAACCAAAGGGTCGAAGATTTTTCTTGCCTATGCACAGATAAGGCTGGGTTTATCCCCAGCTTCTCAGCAAACTGAGATGATATTTGTGTGGAAATAGCACTGGGTGGCAAAGGCAATGCGATTTCATTATTTTAGAGAAGCAAACAGTCTCATTAATCAGCTGTGACCACCCATGTCCAACAAGGCTGGTGGAGGACAAGCAACAGGAGTGTCTCCTGATGCCACATGTGATGAATGAAGCAGGAAGATGTGTTCTCACCTTGGAAGAGTTTCCTGACGTAGCCCTCGTTGCTCACAATGTATTCTATGCCCTTGTGGGAGTTCATGACGGCTCTCACGCAGCTGATGCAGGTGAGCTGGAGCAAGGCATCCGATATCCTGGCCACTCCTCGCCCGGACAGCCTGTCCAGGGCCTCCAGTAGGAGATCCAGCCCAGACAGCTCCAGGAACTGCACCATCCAGGCATCATCACTGTTCTCCAGCCTCTTCTTCAGCCCAGAGTAGTTGACCACTGAGGGCATCTGCAGGAGACGGATGCACAGCTCTGGCTCTGCATTTTCCAGGTTGGCCTCTGACTGGTCAGTCTCCTGGGGTCCGAGTTTCTCCTTCAGGGCAGCCCACTTCTTGTGGGCACTYTCCTTTTTGATTGACATCGTGAACAGTTTGTTCTGAAAGAAAAAGAAATGGCAGAGTGAGGAATTTGTCTGGACTGACCGTGAACTATCTGGTAGCCCTATTTTTTCTCCAGTAATTGGGATGTAAAGCCCAACTACAGCAGCTCCCAGCTCTCCAGCATGTAGGGCACACTCTGGAACCAGCCCTCTGTTGAACGAACTCAATATATTCCCACCTTAACCACACTCATTACAGTCAGGCTCTGAAGACTCTGTGGAGAGACTTTTAGCACATTCAAGCCAGCAAACACAGCTTTTAAAGTAGCCAATTTACACCAGTCAATTGCCACTACCAATTTTCACGCAGCGAAAGGATAAGGGTGGAAGCGGCATTATCAGCTCWGAACTCCTAATGCCCATTAAAGCACTTCAAAATCTCACTGTGCTGGAGAGGCTGTGCAGTTTCTAAGCATTTGTAATGGGATGGAGAAATCATTTTGAGCATATCCTGCTCATAAGAGCATCTGATTACCCTGTTCTTTTTTCRCTTTTGTTTCTTATGACTGATGTTGAGGTTAATTTTACAGCACTCGCTTAATCCCTTCCTGTCTGCTGTAATAGCAAATATGTTTGTACACATGGTGTTTATGCCTGATAATGTGAGAGCCTGACAGGCTGTGAGTGCAGGGCCAGCAGCAGGAGGCTGGCTGTGAAAATAGCAGGGCATCTTTTTGGAGATGGGGAGCAATGGACAGTCTCCCTGGAGGACATGGCCTGTCCAGCCAAGGAGGGCCAGGAACTGACGCAGCACAGAGAAACTGCAAACTCTTGGTGCCAGATTTTATGGTTTTAGGCAGGATTATGATTTTTCAGACCCACAGGGATCATGTTATACAATGCAGGCCCTTTCCAAAGTTGCATGCAATCATTTTGGCCACTGAGCTCAGCTCACTTGGTCAGAGCATGGTGCTAATAACACCAAGGTTGTGGATTTGATCCCCACATGGGCCATTCACTGAAGAGTTGGACTTGTGAGTCCCCTCCAACTCAGAATATTCTGTGAATCTGTGATTCTGTTTTAAAGCTGAATTGCTCACAGAGAGGACAGTTTTCCTCACAAAAAGAGGATAAACCTGCTGGATTCAAAGCCAGCCTTTGACGCTACCTCCTCTTCCTGCCACACCACCAGGACCTCTGGGCTGCTGAGCCTGCACAGGGCTCAAAACAACCTGGGGCCAGTTGGCCCCAAAACTCAGCACTTAGGGGACTGAAGGGATTATGGCAGAGTCTCATTTTCCCTTCCCAGCTCTAGCACAAGGCTTTCTAGTCCAGCACTGGCTAGAGAAAAGGCTTGAAAAATCTAAACTGAGTAATCTCTGGATTTTTTTTTTCCAGAAAGCCAAGATAAAGGATGGACCATTTACATTGGTTGGGAAAAATCTAATTTTAAAGCTTGCCTTGTGATCTTTCCTGGGGACTGCACTGTTGAGAAAGGTCCTGGCTCCTTCCCCGCAGCAGAACTGCACGGCTTCTGTTTTACCCAAAGACTCATTTTGGCAATCTCCCCTCAGCAAATACACAGCCAAAAGACTTGCTCACTGATTAGTGATAGGCATGATATTACAGGCCTCAATATGCCTCTTGGAAAKATGCAAAGTGTGATGGGATAGGGACATTTGAACAATTTCCCTGAGAAATGTGATGGTGGGACCCTCTGGCAGCTCACAGCATCAAAGTCTGCATWAAGAGGTCAGAAGGGTGAAGGAATTAGCAGGATATGGTGACAGAAAATACAGTTAGAGAGCTCTGGAGAAACCCTTTTGCAGAGTTTTCYTTTGCTTCAGTGGGAGAGGAACTGGGCAAGCACCCAGTTGCTCCCTGTTCTGTTAGAAGAAAAAATGATAGTGATGATCCAAAAACATGAAGTGGCAAATATACCATCTGAGAACACACTGTACAGCTGAATAGTGATAAAAAGGACCATAAAAAAAACCAGCAACCCAACCAATCCCCAAACAAACCTCCCTGCCAAAGCACACGCTTGAGTTTCCAAGATTTGTCATCACTCCCTGCGGCCCTTACTCACTCCTGGTAAAATTCTTATTGGGATTAGTCAACCCCAGTCCCTCCCCTGTATCCAAGGCCAGGAATGTGGATTAGGCTCCATGCAAAGGAGGAGAGAAATCCTCCCTCTCTGGAGGGAGAGAAGCAAAAGTGTCCTGCCCCAGGTTTCCAGCCCTGGGGATGGGGCAGCATCCTACACCTCTCACCACAGCAAACMTACAGTCACGGGGCTGGGGAGCTGCTCCTGCAGCCAGGTTCTGCTCCATGTGGTGCACAGAGCCCAGCCACCCCTCACCAGTGCTGGGGTCAAGCCTGGACAGTGCTGAGGACCATCCARCCTGGTGCTGGTCAGCCCCAGGGGCTGCACAAGTGGCTGCCAATTCCCTTTCTCTTGTGTGACTTCTTTTTATACTCAGCARATCACTTTTTAAATTTGAATATGACTAAACATTTCTTACCCAGTCAGATAACTAAGCAGGCTGGCTTTTTGCTCCCAGATGTACAAATGCCTCATTATATTGTATTTGTATTATATTGTATCAGCTACAGCAAGCCAGAGAAATTATAATAGCATTATTGACCTCAGGCTTGGCTGATTCCTGAAAATTAAGCTCCACCAGTGCAACAGGAGGCAGGAAATACCGAGAGAGCATCCTGTTTACCAGCAGATTTGTTCTGAATTATCCTTCCCTCCCACCTGCTCCACACAAATGTGAAGTGATGAGAAACAGAACCAGGCAGGTACCTCTCCAAACAGTCCTGGCTTGTGTTTTTATGCAGTAAACTGAACAAACTGCATTGATTAAATACTCCTCCCCACAGAGAGTGCACTCTCTTTGTAGGAAAGGAAAAGGGTAGCTAATGCATCTAATTGCAAAAAGGGAGTAAAATAAATAGGAGCTGTACTATATAAATGGAAAGAAAATGAATATGGAGGAGATGGCAAAATGACTGCAGATGGTGTGATAAATCTGTTTACAAACACAGATACGAGTGATATATTGTGAATGCAACATCTTCCCATATTTTTCCACGAAGCTAAGTGTTGCAARGATATTTGGATACAGCCTTAAAGGTAGTTTTGCCTTTTATCTCTGACCACAGGAGCTTGTTAGCAGGTAAATGATCTGAGCAGAGTGAGATAGATAAGGATTGAAATGGAACACATCTATCTGGCTGGCTCACAGCGGCAATTTAGAAAATGTTGACAGAGGGAAGGAAAGTCCTCAGACAAAACCAGACAGGACAGCTGAATACACCTCACCTCTTGCCAGCAGAAGGGCACGGGGAGCTTTGCTTTTTGTTCCCAGGCAGAGAGGGGGCTGTGATGGTGGGAGCAATGTCCCCAGCCCCTGTGCTCTGCCCTCCCCTGCTGGGGCTGGGTCCTGCTCCCTCGGGCACATCCTGACAGGGAGTCTGTGCCTGCTGCTGTGGGCACACCCACAGCCACCACAAAGAATCATGGAATGGTTTAGGTGAGAATAAMRACCTTTAAAATCATCCAGTCCAGCCATTAYCTGAGCACYGCCAAGCCMAGCACTAAASCATGTCCCCAAGTGYCACATCTACATATCATAAATACAATCCTCTCMTTGTTTTCTCACCCTCAGAGGCTGGTTTAGCCCTGGAGAGGAATCACAGAATGTTAAGGGGTTAGATGGACCCTAAAGATCATCTAGTCCTATCCCTGGCTACYACARGGACATCTCCCACCAGACCAGGTTGCTCAAAGCCCCATCCAGGGTTGGGGCATCTACAATCTCCCTGGGCAACCTGTTACAGTGTCTAACCACCCTCACAGTAAAAAATCTCCCCCTCTTTCAATCTGTACCCATTMCTGCTTGTCCTAACCCTGTAGTTCCTGACGGAGAGCCTGTAGGCTCCCTTCAGACACTGGAAGGTTGCTAAAACATCATCGAGGCAAAAGCACTCTCAATTTTAGGAGATTCCTTTGGGAAACATGAAGGCATCCTGAGGGCCTGTGCTCTTGCACCTGGCAACAGCAGCACCACGATTCATGGTGCAAACTCCTCGGACCACTGAGTTTGTACAGCTAGAATGTTCCCTGCATCCATCCAGCCTGCTCTGTAAAATTTTCTCCTCCTTTCTTTCTGAATCAGGTGCTTCCCAGCTTTCTGTGCCTCTCTGTCCTTCGAGCCTGCTCCTAGGGAGATGACATCTGTGGGAGATAAATCARGGCACATCAATACTTTCTCCATCCTGTGAAGCTGCGGAGAACAGAGCWGCACAGCACAGCTTTCAGTCTAAATTATTACATGCCTYCAGGATGGCATGGATCACAGCAAGGACTGGGGAGGACATGTAAAAAGAGATTTTTCAGGGTAGCTATGGGTAATTGAGTGAAAACAAAAGGGAGAAACACTGCAGGTCAAAACTAATGTAATTTTTTTTGGAAGCAGACCCCCTGCCTGTGCAAAACAGAGCTTGGGGGCTGGTATGTGTGAGGGGAACAGCAGCTCCCTGCTGCTCTTTGAAGAATTCTGGGAGCATCCCAATCCTACCTGCTGCCCTCACAGCCCTCTGCTTCCCTCCACAAGGYTGCTGGGGTGAGAAAAGCTCTTTTTGCTGCTCCAGCCCCTCTCCTTTSCATGCCTGTTCCTGGCACTCAGGAGCTGCTCTSCMTGGCTCACTGCTAATGACAGGTTTTGCTTCTGGGTACTTCCAGTTTTCACTCTGCTGCTGGGAACACGCCAAGCCTTTGTATTTTGCAACACATCAGACTACTCAATCCCTAAAAAGAAACAACATCCTGGATTTGTGCTTTCCAAAATCACTTCTGGAAGCRTGGTGGGCTTCCTTCAGCTCTCCTTTTGCTTTCATTTGTGCTGCTGTTTTTCCATGTAGGGTTGGAATTGCCCATATCCATCCAGGCTAACAAACCATCCTCCCAGGCACCAAAACAAGGGGAGGACACCACAAATCTCTATTTCAGACACCAACATCACCCCTTGGTGTGGGCCCATTAGTGTCTGTAGGACTCAGCAGCATTCCCAGTCTCCCAGAAGAAGGGCACAGTGGGAAACTCAGGCGAGCAAACCAAAGGCATGGATTGCACAACACACCTTGCTCTGGCATGCAAACAAAGTGCTGCTCCATCCTTCTGCTGCCACGGCCCGTAGCCTCAGCAGCCTTTAGATCTACATATTCCTGATCCTCAGCTTTATCAGAAGCCAGAATGTGTGATTTATGCTCAAAAAATGAAAAGGTTTTGGGATGAGTGCCCAGTCCTGCTCTTCAATACCCAAGAAGTTTATGAGGTCTCTGGCACACTGTGCTTTGCTTTGGCACAGCCAAAGCTCTCACAACACAGCCCAGGTTGGTTGTGTCCTCTGCAGTGCTGCACCATTATGGGGGATATTTTGTTTTTAGGAAATGAGGGAGCATGGACACACACCCTGCTGCAGCTGTGGGCAGGAGCTGTGCCATCCACACTGACTGGGCCTGGCAATGGCTTCTGCTGGCAGCAAATTCCCAGAGAAGAAATTGGATGCACAGACAAAAAGTGGCCATATTGGTATGAATTTGTATGTATTTCACCAGTATTGCTTATTCTTTCAAAAAGAAAGGAAAAATCGTGTTGTCCTGACTCAGCCTCATCTACCTCTATCAGGATGCTCTGTGCCATCACAGCTTTTCTCTCTTGGGCAAATACAAGCTACAGTATTGTGTGATGTCTCACAAACAGGTTAATGTGTCCATTCAACATGTACTGGTAGCAGTGGGGTTACACCAGGTTTAACCCCACCACTAAAAAAAAAAAAAAAAAATCAATCATCAGGGCATCCTGACTCAGGCCAGAAAGGAACAGGATTCAGGTGCAGATCCCATGAAAACTCCCCCTGGCAGTCAGGCAGGTCTGGAGACTGCCGTGCTCCAGTGTCCACAACTCAGGGAGAGGCAGCTCTGCCAGCAATTCCAGCACCATTCAGCATTTGGGATGCGATTTGTTGCTGTCATTTGGGGTCATGTGAGGAGCAGAAACTGTTACCCAGCAACACGGACAGTGCAGTGGTAACTTTCTAGGACTCCTGGCTTCCACTCTGTGGGAAGCTGTCACACAAGCAGATATGAGAGCCAAAACCCTTTTTATTGCCTTTTTTTCTTGATGTTTTTAAAAACCTTCACAGGATGCCAAGAGGACAGAGAAAACTGTCAGTGGGCAGAATTCCTACCTCAGAGCTGAAGCCAAATTATTCCTTTGTCTCTCCCACATGGAAGGATAGTTCTGGACCAGTCGTGTGAGCCTTCCCTTCCCAGCCAGCTCCTTTTCTCCTTCTCTCTGCCAAACAACCTTCAGTCAACACAGCACAAATCCCCAAACGAGTGTCTCTGCAAACCAAACGCTCTAAGAAAGTTCAACAGGATGTCAGTGTCTGATAGTATGCAAATATCTCTGTTCGGAAAGGTGCAAGGAAGTGACTTTTCTGTAGCCCCCAGGGAAGGCATTTGCATGTCATTTGTCAYCCTTCTCATTGACCCTGTGCTGGTGGCTGGGAGGGTGGGAGCCTCACCCCCACTCTGTGTCTGTCTGGCATTGTGAAAAAGCGCTCCTGGCACCTCAGAGGGGTGACTCAAAGCAGGGAAATGACCAAAGCTGGGYAAAGAGCTGGCAAAGGAAAGGGAAAACAATGAGAAGGTAAAGAGAGGATGCAGGGTGGTGGGATGGAGAGCAGGGGTGTGGGTGGGGACGGCCCCTCGCATCTTGCAGAAACTGCGCTGGGTTTTCCAGCTTTGTGCCACCAGAGCTTTACACGGTGCAAGATCTCAGGGGTCTTTGCAATGCTGAAACAACTAGGCCAGTTTGAAATATTAAAGATGTTTAACCCAAGGCTGCCCACCCTGGGAGAGGAGTCACAAAGCACAGGCTGGGAGCTCAGGCAGTGTCCTCCGGGCAGGGGCTCAATGACAAGAGTTCTGCTCTCACTGGGCACCACTGAGGTCCTGCTGAGCTTCAGTCCAGCCCAGCTTTTATGGGCTGAAAAGGCTCTGAAGACATTAAAAGCTCTTTTTAACAGAAAGCATCTCTGTGCCTTTCTGGTTGACATTTCATGTGAAAACTAGTGTGTGAGCCACAGCTGCAAAATGCATCCACTCAGCCTCTCGGGAGGTGTTAGCTGAAACCCAGTCATTATTAAATTGTGAATATTTCAACATGGCCCATTTTAGCATAGGCCTCCTGCCTGGCTCAGGGTAAGCAGTTAGGCTTCAAATGTTTATTTCTTACTCTGTGAGCTTCTACTCTACACTGAACCTCCCAGATCTRAAGTGGGAACCCACATCAAGAGCCTTCCTGCCTTAGGTGGGAAACTCAGCCCTTGTGCACATGAGCACAACCCCACCAGTATTAGAAATGCACTGATCTGTATGCCCTTTAGTCCAAATTCAGTTGGCATTTAAGAGACTAACTGGCCCACGTGCTTTCTAATTAAAACAGTTTCACCATAACAATGTAATGTCCAGGGAAATGACTCTGCATAATTCCCYATCCTGCCATAGGAAACTCTCCGGGGGTGTGTCCATACAATCYGAGACTAATGTTAATTCAGGATGGATTTTACAATGGCAAATGAATGTCCCTTTACATTGCATGCACTCCTGAAGTGTAATCCCCAAGTCCTCAAAAGATTAGTGCTAAGCTGGTTCTTGGGAGCAGGACCAGGCTCACAGCAGGTTTTAGGGGAAAAAATAGGAGAAAAAAAAATCCTGCAAAGAAGGGATTGTGATGGTACAAATTCCTGTCCTTTGCAACCATGGAAGCAATGCAAAAGGTTATCAATCAGGTCCCATCAGGTTTCATCTGAAGCCTGGATTGGAGAAAATCCATAAATGCTTCTTCTTCTAGAAAGGTTCCATTTTTTCTGACATGGAGRAAAAAAACCCAACAAACAAAAAAAMCCCTCAAAAGCCCAAAAGTAAAAAAAAGGAGAAGCAGAGAAATTGGGCTGAAAAGCAGGAAAAAAGAAGMAGCAGAGAAACTGCGCTGAAAAGCAGGAAAACCAGCTCTCATGGTGCATCGCCCCCCTGCAGGCCTCATGGACATGAACTTTCAAGTTGCTCAGAGAGAGGATTAAATGGTTTTCCCCCAGTAAATCAGCCCAATTTTACCCCAGTTTTCTGGCAGATGATTTAGTGGTCCTSTGAATAGTAACTACACCAAAATCAAACTGATTACCTCAAGAACTAAGAGTTTAGTTCCATGTTAGGTAGAGCTCAGACTCTACTTTCTGAGTATCACCCTGTTGCCTCTGGACAGTGCAATGGCTTCACTGCCCACATGGCCAGTCCACAAAATTCAGGAATCCAATTAAACAGATATAAATACAGCCCATTTGCCTTTAGGAATTAGATTATTCCTAATTACAGCAATCAGTGTCTTCTYGCTGCTCTACGTTTCTGTGACAAATTTATCCCCGTGCCATTGGCATTTCAAGTAAGTCATGTCAAGGGTTTTGGAAAGGACACCCYGCTCATTTCTGGCTGGCAGGGAGACCTGTGCCCCTCAGAAATCTGCTGCAATGGCTCTGTTTAGGTGATCCTKCCTAAAATGCCTTTTATCACTCCCTTTTGAATCACCAAACATCAGCACAGACAGTACTCAAGAACAGAGGTGCAATATTCACCTCTGCATCTCCGTGAGGGTTTGTTGGGTACTCTGGCACCTACAGGGCCAGAGAAAACCACCACATGGTTATAGGGAAAAATAAGGGAAATAAATTTGGGTAATTCACCTTTGTTCATCTGAGAACTGCAGCCTCAGTTAAGCAACCAGAAGGACCAGTGTCAAACAAAGTGCTGAAACAGCGCTGGAAAGCAAAGTTATGGGGAGACCAAAATAAAATGTAGGGGAACAGTCAAATCCTCCTCATGCCCACAAAGTGCCTGGTCTTTGACAACATGACTTTGTGGCATGGGACAGCAGGAGATGCCAGGAGAGCTACTGGGATGCAAATGGGATGAACTAACAATGACCTTCCCAGGTATGGGGAGAGCACAGTGACAGCAGCCAGTCTGCTCCCTCCTTGGGGAGCACAGACATCTGAGCATCCTCAGGAAATCACAGCAGCAAGACAGGAACTGCAAAGCTGAGTGCTGCTGGCTCTTACTGAATTTCTCCACTCTCCTTGAAGACTGACATCTCTCCAGCTCTCTTGTCACACACCAGCTCTCATTGCTTTTCGGCTGAATACACTCACTTTAGAGGATGCTGAAAGGAGGAAGAAAAAAGCTTTCTGAAGTAGTCTTTATTTGATGAGTACTTTAGATAACAAACATAAAGGACTCTGCTACTGCTGGTAGCGTATTTCCATCAACTTTGTATCTAATGGGGTAGATCTGCTTTAAACATCCCTTAACATTTGCTCTGCAGTTCTTTCAGTAGGAAGCTTCTGCAAGGCAGAAACATCCTGTTTTGGGGAGGGTGCTTCCACCTCAGGAGATTAAACCACAAACTGTGAGGAACTTGGAGCTTAATTTGGAAAGGTGCTGACAAAAACCTCTGCCAAAACCCCAAAGTGCACCAGCACTTTTGCCCAGAGCACAGACCCACATAGAGGTTTTTAATTGATATATGAGCTCCTAAGCACAGGCTGGGTAAGAAGCTGAATATTTATTATTTAATTTATCCCGCACACATATATTGTACCGTGCTAAGGCTGCAGGAGAGCTGCTGAAGCATTGCCAGGGTGAAGGGCGCTGTGGTGGCTGAACTCTGCTCCCTGGTGCTGGTGCTGCAGCAGCAGGAAGATGTAATTACAGGAAAAAGACCTTCTGAGCCCTGCCCCAGAGGGAGAGGGGCAGRCAGGCCCTGCCCAGGGTTGAGCTGCATTCTTCAGCACAAGCACAAACCCTCCTCACCAGCACAAGGATGAARATCTCCAGGCAGGCAGCAGATCTTCCCTAGAAACCAATTTTATGCTGRAGATCCACAGGGGAAAGGGCTGAGGGCATCACTAAGCCAAAGAGCTGCCCAGACCCACATTTACAAACACCTCTTCTGAAAAAAAAACAGCCAAGACACCAGAATGGTGCAGAAAGGGGAAGCATTTTTCCAGCTGCTCTCCCAACAGGCTGCAAACGCGATTCCCGTCTATGGGGATCAGCTTTTCCATTCAGCTGCTGCTGAATCACAGAGGTTGGTATCTCATCTGGTGAACAGCCCAAATGCAAACACCCTGAGTGTTTTTGTTCAGATAAGGCTGGTCACAGCCAGGATTCCTAATGGCATGGGTGAAGCAGGCATTGCACACATTAAGGAGAGCGGCCCCAGATACCACCAGGTACTTTCTGAGCGCTTTTGTGGATATGAATGCAACTAAGAGTAACCAGAAAACCTGCTCAGCTGCTAATTCAAGAAGTTAAGCATTTGAGCCGTTTAAAATAAATGCTTGAAGAAGGCTGGCTTAGCGTGATTTCAACATTAATCCACTCCAAAGATGCCTTCAGAGCATTTTCTCCACTGCTGGGTAAAAAAGTTTGAAGAGCCTATTTTATAATGCAATAATCCTAAAACATTAACTGGCTTAACCTTTCATTTTGCTAGAGTACTTTCTCCAGTTGTTTTGAGAGGACCTAAATTTGTCCCCCTAGATATTATCTTTCCAGTTCTAAATCTTGGTTTTAATGTGAAGAGATTTTAGTGTGGCCCAACCAACCGGGAATCATGGGAAAGGCTCATGCTGGAGCAAAATGACCTTACTATACATGCACAATATCTTACGATTATCATTTTGACCTTTGTCATCTTTTCCTTATCGCTTTAGAAAYGAGTGATACTGCTTTGTTCTTTGCAAAGAAATCAGTTTTTCAATCATATCCTCAGGTTTGCATAGCCCAAAGTGTTGCAGTGCTTTTTGCCAGCTGAACATGTGGCTGTCATTAATCTTCAACAGGAAAATCACTATATTTGATAAGTTAATATACAGTGAATATTAGAATACCATTTTATAAGTGATTCATCTCTACACATATGGCTTGSTCCAACACTTGCTTACAAGTGTTATCAGAACAGGGGTTTGGGAATTACAGGCTTGTAAATCAATTGAACTTTCCCTTCCTTTCTAGATAAACAGAGGCCTTGTTTAAGGCTTGGTAATGTTTGTGAAGGTTCAGTCCATTTCCAGTAAAGCAAACAACAAAACCCAGAATTTATCCCTAGGCTTATAAAAGAAGCCTCAGGACTGGGTAAATATAAAATAACTCATGAATATTGGACAGCTTGTTCTGAAATGGGGAACTACAGCCCATCAGTGCATAAACAAGTGAGCACAGCCAGCAGGCTGGAAAGCAGCTTTCCAAGGGAGAAATGGAGCAGCTCAGCCAGGTTTCACATGAGAGCTACTCAGGGAGCCGGCTGCCACATCAGCATGACACAAACCAGAAAGGAACAAAGTTATAAAATGTATCAGGCAACAAAAATATTTGTTCCCCAGTTCACCTTCACGGCAGGCTCACATTTGCACCATTGGTCACATAAGTCACATGAAGAACAAGAAGAACACACATTCACAAATACTTCCTAAATTGCAGAGCCCACTGCTGACATGCCAGGTAAATATTGGAACCCCCAGTTTCTCACCCTGTGTGAATTTCTCTGCTCTGGCTCAGGGCAGATTTGCTTTACTGCATTGTGCAGGCAGTTGAAAGTTAAGCCAACCAATTCTAAAGGATTTCTCTTTTTTTTTTTTTCCTTTTCTAAATAGCAGAAGTAATTAATCTGCTTCAGAGAATGAATCAGCCTTTTCTGAGCTAGAAACACACAGAGGAGATTGTGGCTGTTTCTGGGGCAGGAGGGAGGCTTACTCACACAGCTGATGCAGCCACCCAGAGTGTACAGCTGT